TGCCTGGGGTTGTTCCTCCCCAGGTGCAGGACCCTGCACTTGCCCTTGTTGAACCTCATCAGGTTCCTCTCTGCCCAGCTTTCCAGCCTATCCAGGTCACGCTGAATGGCAGCACAGCCTTCCGGTGTATCTACCACACCTCCCAGTTTGGTGTCGTCAGCAAACTTGCTGAGGGTACATTCTAACTCTTCATCCAGGTCGTTGATGAAGAAGTTAAACAAGACTGGGCCCAGTACTGACCCCTGAGGGACACCACTTGTCACCAGCCTCCAACTAGACTCAGCGCCGCTGATGACAACCCTCTGAGTTCTGCCATTCAGCCAGTTCTCTATCCACTTCACCGACCACTCATCCAGCCCACACTTCCTCAGCTTCCCCAGGAGGATATCATGGGAGACTGTGTCGAAAGCCTTGCTGAAGTCAAGGTAGACAACATCCACAGCTCTCCCTTCGTCTACCCAGCCAGTCATGTCATCATAGAAAGCTATCAGGTTGGTCAGGCATGATTTCCCCTTGGTGAATCCATGCTGACTATTCCTGATAACCTTCTTTTCTTCCACTTGCTTGATGATGGCCTCCAGGATAAGCTGCTCCATCACCTTTCCTGGGATGGAGGTGAGGCTGACCGGCCTGTAGTTCCCTGGGTCCTCCTTCTTGCCCTTTTTGAAGATTGGAGTGACATTGGCCTTTCTCCAGTCCTCGGGCACCTCTCCTGTCCTCCAGGACCTCTCAAAGATGATGGAGAGTGGCTCAGCAATGACATCCGCCAGCTCCCTCAGCACTCGTGGGTGCATTCCATTGGGGCCCATGGAGAAGGCAGAGGGAGGAGAAGACATGCTGGACGGAGCCAGAGGTGGGCTCCGGCACCTGCAGCCTGGCAAAGCCCAGACCTCCCCGGGGTCCGAGCCTGCTCCTGCCACTGCCCACGGACCAGCGCTCTGCACAGCTTCCTACGGCTGAACAACAGCGTAAAGCCAGGCGCTGCTGCTTGCAGAGCGCCTCACCTTGACACAAAAACCAGTGGTGCATCGCGTCGGGCATGCCCTAAAAAAAAAGCCCTCTGCCACGCAGCTCTCCCTGCAAGGCCAGCTGCACCAGGGCAACCTGCCCGACAGGCAAAGCAGCAACGCCAAAAGGCCTTTCCCGGATCCTTTTTTCAGGAATTGCTCTGCACTGGGGGAGAGGGACTTCCCCCGAATCTTGGCAAGGCCGAGGACTCAGGAGGATGCAGAGCTGCATGATCCGCCTGTGGTCCCGTGGGAAGCCTGTGGCAGAAAGCAAATGAAACCCTGCTTCCCCACTACCATCTTCTCCTCCATCCGCGATGCCGTGCAAGCGCTGGCGCTTGTGCCAGCCCACAGCAACATCCGTCACATCCCAGGCTGCGCAAAACAGAACTGAACAACCGCTCTCCTAGGGCCCTGTCCTCAACTCTCTGCTCAGATGAGAAAGAGGCCTAGGACGATAACCTCCAACAGCCCTGGTTTGGGATCGATTTCAAACCAGCTGGTGCTTTGCTCTCTGCGCGCGGTTTGGGTGAAGTGAGCTGGACACTGGACAGCCCTCGCTGTGCCACTGCCACAGGAAGGGGCATCCTGACCGGCTGCTGACTTCAAAAGCCAAATTATTCCAGCCGCTAACAGCTGGTCAGATGCCGCTATCACCTGATACTGCCCACAATACACCACCAACATTTACTGTGCCACTGGGAGAGGAGACTAAATCATCCACAGAATGAGAAAAGAGAAAACAGGCTCATAGAAGGCGTAATTTCTGAGCAAACCCAACATTTTTTAAAGGTTCAAACAGCATCTTCAGTATCTTTGCAGCTTCTCTCGTGAGAAAGAGAATGAGCAGTCACTGGCAGTGAGCAGCCGGGCAAGTCACCGCGCTCCTCAGGGGCTCTCACACGCCCGGGGGCTGGAGACAGCAGAAGACAGTGAACAAACTAAGGCAGGGTTTTCCGAGCTTTGCCTGCTACCTGTGAGGCACCTCCTCATCACTTAAGAGGCAGGAGTATGTTCTAACTTGTAAAAAGCTTTCATGCAGCCTCTTTGTTTTTAGTTCAAGTTTGGGAATTGCCATGCTGACGCACCACACTATACCTGCCGAAACAGCCACCGCTTTTAACGCTGCCAGCTTCATGGCCTGTGCGTCAAACCCTTTCTCCTTGCTTTGCAGAGTTGTTTTCTTAAGCAAACATGTGGTATGTTGAAAAATCTTTTTCTCCTGTTCCTAAAGCACTACAATGAATTTATTCTTTATAATGTGAGAATTCCACCTATATTTCTATTGATTAAAAATCTGGCTTCAAGCAAGAAAGTTCATTATTTGACTTTCACCTGAAAAAAGAAAATAAGCAGTGAAATCCGCAATAACAGTAAACTAGTTTCCACACAAGCAGTTGGGGGAAAAAAAAAGGAAACCTTCACAGAAAAGTAGCTCTGAAGCTACTTTTCAAACAAAGCAGCATTCACGTGTTTCATGTACAACACCTCGGTAGGTGCTGGAGAGGACAGGCAGCACACGCCGGAGGCAGCCTTGTCCAGAGGGGCTGGGATGTCCCAGCCCAGCAACCAAGAGACAGCAACCTGCTGATAAAAACAGCTCGTCCAGCTTCGGGTTAGAGCAAACACGTGCCTCGCTCTAATTTCCACGGCCACTGGCAGCCTCTCCGCTCCCAGAGGCTCCCAGGGTGACCGCGCTGCTCCCTTGCCAGACGGGGCTGGGAGGAGAGCTGCCCTGATGGAAGTCATCGCAAGCTCCCCCTCAGCTTGCGTGGGGCTGGGACTGCACCCAACGCGTCTGCAGCGTGTAGGTTGGGAGATACGGACCAAGAAGGGGCACAGGGACTGCCTGTGTGTGGCTAACCTCAGCAAGCAGTTTTTGACATAGATCAAGATTGATTTCACTCCATGGGTTACATACCTCAAGTACTAACACATCTTGCCCAACACCAATACTTTGCAGGCTACACTTTAATGTCACATTTTTCCTTCATTCTGGACTTGGCCCCATTCACCTCAAAAACGCAGCAAATGGCTTACATGGGGCAGCAGGGGAAATAAATTAACACGAAAAGAATCCCGTGAAGGACCCAAAGCAGGTCACCCTGGGCATATGGCTTATCACCCAACATGCAGCTCCAGGGTGCTGCCTGTAGCACTGCACGTGCATCTTGCTGGGGACACAGGAGATGGCCACCACAGCCCGGGTACGTGACCCCACCCCACTCAAAGGCAGAGGCAGCGACGCTGGCTTTGACAGCGCCCAGACCGGGACCATGTGAGTGTCAGCAGAAACCTACAGGTGACCTGAAGCACACGACACATGGGTTTGCAGCAGGTCTTGAGGACCTGCTGCAGCAGCTCCAGACCATCTACATGTAAACACCATCTGCCCCTGCTCTGCCACCACCTCCGCATGGCCAAAGCCTCATTGCTACCAGAACAGTCAACACGCCCTCACCGACGCCATCCTGCTGCTCGCCCACCACCTCCACTGCGGTGTCCACACTTGGGGACGCAGCCTCCCTGCTCACGTGCACCACCTCAGTGCACATGGCTGAGCTCAGCAAGCTCTGCACCCTTTGGTGGGGGTCTCCCTCTGGGAAGGGCCTTCACCCAAACACCGCTTACGTCTTTTCGTTGCTCTGTACAAATTAATTTTGCATAAACCTGTTCTAAAACATTTAGAAGGAAGACATTACACTGCTTTAATAGTCTGTATGAACAGCAGCAGCCTGTAACAAAGGCCCGGCCAGCGAGCTGGCCATGCCCACGCTACATCTGCTCATCTCTTCATGCCTAAGGCAGTCTCTGCTTGTCCACCACTACAACCAAAACACGGTAAACTTGTGACAGCTTTCAGTCAGCCCAGCCTCCACGGATGGTCAAATACCAATCTTTGAAAACTTAAAATGCTTCTGACAGAAGCTCACATGCAGACAAGCAAGAGGGTTTTTCAGGGCATTTTGGAGAATGAAGTAACGCGTTCAGGGTAAGATCGTACGTGTGACAGCAGGACTGCCACTTGTGCAGCCATCACTTTAGTTCCCTGCACAGCTCCGTCATTTCGAACAGGCTTCTCCCTCTGCAGTCCTGGGTGTGCCTGTATTGGTTTGGGGAGCTGGAAATCTATCAGAACATAAGGGAAGACCATGCAAAGCATGGCAAAATTTGTAAGTTCACGACAGAATTTTCAAAAGCCCTCTGGGATGTCCTGCTTCTGTTTCTATCAAATTATGAGTAAAAAATTGCATCTAAAAATTATTTCAGCATCCATGCGAGCAGGGTTAAGTGAATTCTGAACAATTCTGAAAATCCTCCCTTGATCCTTTTCTAAAAGTTGTGGAACCGTAATGCTGGAGCAGAGGTGGTCAGGTTACTGGGTCCTCTTGCTATGGAGTTGCTCTTTGTGATTTCCACATGCTGTATCTCTCCTGAAAGCAATAATTACTCTTTTCCTTCTAGGAAAAAAAATAGTAATACCACATTTTTCACATTGCTGAGGTGATCCATGTACGTATGCCCGGCTGCCTGCCCCGGACAGACTGCCAGACCCAGTGGGGTGCACCCGGTCCCAGCACCCTCCGGTCGCTGGCCGCCACCAGAGAGCAGAGCCCGTGCTAAAAGCTCCGATGGCAGAAGGCGAGGTACGTGGTTTGTTGGGTTGGCCGCTGACGATACAGCCCCTGAGCACCTTTAAATAACTGGTTCATCTGCGTTGGCATGCCCAGGCCACAGAGGACACTGGCTTGGTCATTTTACCGTTTGTGAAGCTGACTCCTGGGCAAGTCGTGACACTTCATAAGGTTTGCTCTGGGAATCCTTTGTTCAGTCCCAACACGAACCAATTGCCAGATACAGTTTTTTTCTTTTTTTTCCTGAAGCACTAAATTGCTTGAATTCCCCGGAGGATGAAAGGCAGAACTGTACTGAAGGACATATTAAAGCTCTCTGGCATGAGATTCAGCTGACGCTGAGATGCTCCCCACCTATTTCCAAACTCAGATTTCCATAATCTCATTTCATTTCCAGTCATTCAGGAGGGCTGACGCTCTGGAGTGCTCAACAGGGCAAACCAAAGGGAATAAAGAAAAAATGCTCAGCTGCTGAAATTACCTCTCTCAAAGCCAGCTCAGTTTTTGTTCACCTGACTCTTGCTTCGCTCCACGCGAGCAGCAGGGCACCCTGCTTCCCGTTAAAGGCTTGCTGCAACTTGCCAAAAATGTGCTCTCCCAAACAGCCACATTCTCTGCATTCTGGGCAGCAAAGAAACACCACCTCACCCGCAGCCTTGTCTTGAGCTGAGCCTCAGCACGCGTTGGACTCTGCCGTCTCCGGGCAGGCCTGACAGCCTCAGGCAAGCGGCGGGATACACCGCAGTGAAAAGTGCCCGCTCTCCTCCACGATAACAAGACTGACAGATGAGATTCGGCTTAGTACACGGCTTTTTTGATACACAAAGCGGTTGCGTATGGGCTCTCCTTTTTGGGGGGGAAAAATAATGAGTTTTATAGTGAACGAGGCGACTTCAAGAAATAAAGTTTTGACTAAACCCTAGTCTGCAAAGCCAGTCTCCGCACAATGCCGCGGCACGCCCAGTTGCTCACTTGGATTGAAGTGTTAGACTTCACAGTATCGGTCCCTACTCGAGGAACAATATGTGCTCGTGCAGGTAATAAGCGTCACCTGCGAAAGCCATAAATAACATTCAAAATTCACTACTCAACTAACCAGAAACACCACACAACATAAGCGTCCTGGATGAAATTCTGGGTTCACTAAAGTCAATAGTACACGACCAGGAGTTCACATATTGTTCTTATTTAAGTACGGTTGTTTTGCAATGCTTAGTCCAAGTAAACTTGGATTGTAAATATGCAGCAGTGCCAGAAAGAGCTGAGCTGCATTGCTGTCCAGCTACTTAGGGATATCTCATACCGGGTGCAATCTGGTATGTTACACAACCTATTAATTAGTTCCACAACATCTTTCATACATTACTCAGTCTGGGTCTCTTTTCCAAATCTCTGGTTTTCTAGTCGCTAGTTTTTAATTGCCACATCAGGACATACTACGCACAGGTGAGGAGCTGTTAGCAGCATTCCGGTTGCTTGGCAGTGCCTTGAATCCTGGAACGCTGTTCAGCGTGCCTCTACCGACATCTCCGAGGGCAGAAAAACCCAGTGTTCACAGCAGCCCTGAAACTGCGCCTCTCCCCGCCGGGGCCGGCAGGACTCTGAAGAAAATGTGATGGATATCGTGAGCGGATCCAACACTGTCTCCTAACGAGGAACAAACAGTCATGTCGCTCAACGTCGCGCGCTGCGCCCCACCGACCTCCATGCTGCTGTCCACCTGCACATCCCCCCCACCGCCTTGCACCACGTCGCCGAGATCTGCGCTGACTGGTGCAAGCACGGCCCGCACCAAGCTGCCGCGCCTCCTGCGTCACCGGCGGGGGGGGGCGGGGCTCCACGGTCCACAGCCAGCGGTGGGGAACGCGCAGACGAAGGAGGACACCGGTCTCCTGGGAGTCTGCAGCAGCAGCATGGCAGCATGACGAGAAGCAGTGCGACAGGAGGTGGTATCTGAGGGACATCACGGGGCTTGGGGCTGCAGCAGCTACATCTGGCAGCTCTGGAGCGAGCTGTGGGATACAAGCATGTCTGTGACGGTGTGCGGTACGGTCCTGCCTACAGAGTGTAACTCCAGCTTGTCCTAAAAGCAGCTTTGGCCTTGCAGAGTCTCCAGGGCTCCACAGCATCGCTGAATTGTGTCAGAACAACTGGCTGTCATACACCTAGGGACATCGAAGAGCTATTGTTCTTGTACAGAGCTGTCCTTTCAAAACACCTTCCTGCCTGTTTCCAACTGGTTACATGCATAGATTTATACATATATATATATATACATGCACACACACTTAATAATAATGATAATTTTTGACCTTCCAATTACAAGTGTCTGAAATAAAACCATTCACGTGTAACGATGGAGGCTTACCTACATCCCTGTCCCTGATACAGTAGTCTGGAGAGCTTTCGAAGTATACCAGGTCATTCTTAGTTGGCTTCTTAAACCTCTTATTAGCCACGGTGAAACCCGTGCCATCTTGATTCATGACCACCTGAATTGCTCCGTTGTATTTCTTCCACAGATAATCTCCCGTTCTCCGAAAGTCTGCCATGGCCAGCCAACAGGTCCTCAGGGTGCACGATCCACTCACGCCGTGACATTTGCACTCCTGTTTCAGAAACCGCTTCACGGCCTGTTGGGAAACGCGGAAAAACAACACACAGAGGTGAAACAAAGTGCAGTCGGTGCTCCCCAGCCCTTCCCCAGGGGTCCTGCGATGCCAGGCGTGCCGTGGGGTCCCCAAACCACGGTCTGTAGTGACACCCACTGGTAGCATCAAGTCATCCCCACACGGTTGGGCCGCTCTGGTCACTCGACCCAATGGGGTGCGCAACCCAGCTGGCTGTCCCAGCTCCTGCCAGCCATCACCAGCGTCCAGACGGTCCGTGACGCCAGGACGGAGACTGGGCAGGAGGGAACGATCTTGGAAATAGGCAGAGTCCCTCAGCCCCTTGGTAGGCGAAGGCACCCCCTTCTCCCCATCGTTCCAGCATCGCCTCGCTGACCCTCCCTAGGTCACCTTCACAAAGTTGCCCTTTGCCCCGAATCGTGTTTCAAATATTGCCTAGAAATTCACAGGCATTTAATCTTAAAATGGTTTTGCAGAGGCTGTGCGAAGCATATGCATCAGACCTATGAAAAATTGTAAAATACAGTATTTTTAAAACGCTTATAAACCTTTTAACAAACATTTTAGAATAAGACCTTCATTACCTCACACTGGAGAGATCACCTTCACCATTAATTTAACGACTGGATGTTATTAAAGAAATTGCAGCTTCATCTCAGACATTTAAGCTATCTGTATGATGCTGGAGAACGACAGATGGGTTCATATACAATAAATAATTAATTCTTAATTCTGAAGACATGGATATTTGATCTATAAATATTATGCCGTAAGGGTTCTTGGATTATGAACATTTTAGAATTTGTACAAGAGGAACAGCATCATGGGAGGAGGCAAGAGAGAGGAAAGCTCCGTGATTAGAAGTGAGACTGATGCACAGCGGGGCAGCATTTTTCGGTCAAACAGTAATAAAGCAAGAATGTGTTATAAAAACCAAAGGACTTTTAATTTTCTTTCCAATTTGTAAACGATATGGCTGCTCCAAAGAAGCCACTGACATTCCCACAGCCCCACTTCCTTGCCAACGGTACTGTCACAAAACTGGGATTTAAGCAGATGCTTGGTTTTAGTTATCTGAGTAGAAATCAGTTTAACTACTTCTATGTTTAAAACAACTTGCTAGAAGAGTGGAAGAAGCACATAGGAATGCAGGACTTTTTTTTTCTTTGTCAGTGAAGTTCCTACACTGATACACAGCATACTATTTTGTATGATTCCTATGGGAATTCTATAAATATTTCTTCTATGTATTTTTTAATGAGTAAAATCTGAATAGTCTAGTTTTAAAAGACACCTATCAACACCCCCTTTGAGGGTGAGAAAAAGCCAAGGGCACAGCCAGTCTCACCCAGATCCGAACGCCAGGCTTGTGGGCGGGCTGAGGTCGTGACACCCCTGCCAAGCTAAACCTGTGCTACTGCAGCATGGCTACAAAACTGCACCCGTCTGTAAAGCAGGTCCTAGACCATATGAGATCGTGTTCACTAATTTTAATCAAATACATTTATTGAAGTCGCTTGATCTTTTTCTAAAAAACCCACCTGCTTACTAAGATCTCTTATTTGACCTATGTATTTTTTTTAAACTTACTAAGATACTGAACTTTTACGGAAACACTCCCCAGCATGGAGCTAATTCACCCCTATAAAGCCTTTGCTTGTGTTGTAGACTGCAGTCTCTTTTGGGCAGTAACATAAATCGAGCCATAGTACTGCATATGCAGATCACTCATCTGAATAGCCTCGTCTGTCTGTATTACATATAAATTACACTTGCCGGTAATAAACAGGTAGAGGAAAGATGCTGAAGGAGAAATATCTAGCAGAAAAATCATCTACTTGCAGTACAATTCATTCAGATCGGATCTTTTCTTCTAATAAGGGCTAGTTAATATAGAACAACTTCACAGTTTACAAAGGGAACTTTTCAATACAAAAAGATCCACGTATGCACAATTTACTTCCTACTGAACGTAAGTGAAGGAAAACCAAAGACAAGAAACAAGAAGTCTCTAAGAAACACTTCAGAAGTGCTTGGTCTAGCACTACAGAATATTTTTCCGTATTATTTCAGGTGTCATGGATGCAGCAAATTTTGAATATGTTTTGGATAATGAAACCACGTATTCCAGTTTCATGCGCTGTTCTTACTATTTACAGCTGCCATCACAAAATGTCAGTGCGTGTATTCCTCAGCCCTTGCACCAGCAGTGGGCAACACGCCCGGCAACTCCTCACCCGCCATAAAAAGGCAGAGACTCTTGTTGTTGGAATTCAGGAATGGTGTTTTCCTGCAGTGTTTGGAAAGGGGGTTTGTTTAGGGCATATCATGCCCCAAAAGGCCAACGCCTTTTAAAGTGACGTGTACTTTGGATTTATTTTCTAGAAAAGTGAAGTAATTGTATTCTCTCTCTGCTCATTTTGTTTAGGTTTGCCACATACATACATACAGCAATGGACAGGATGGGGTTTTTTTTTCTCCAACGCTATTTTGAATTTGCTCTGTAATAGTCAAGCCTGTTCTTCTGTGTGGTCTTCAGCCTCCCCTCAGAATTTCCATTCTGTATTAACCAAAAGTAACACTCCTCCACATCTACGGATTAGGCTCAAAACAAAACCTCCATCCAAACTGATCCTGCAAGGACTTGGGCTCGGGCTTAGCTTCCCACAGCAGGAGCCACTGAGCTAGCTGGCTCGGATGGGAGCACGGGGAAGCAGCTGCTCTCAGCCCGTTTGGAGATGTCCGCCACGCCGCACCTCCGAGGGAGACAGAAACAGAACCTCAGGCTCCCGCTCACTCTGTGCCTCTTCCCAACTGCAGAGACCCATCACCAAGGGCAGCCGTCCCCTGCCCCAGGCCCGTCAGGGCTCACTGAGAGCACCTCCAGGCATCTGCTGGGTGGTGACCCACCTTCCTTCCAGCTCTGTTGTTGTGAAGGTTCATCAGCGCTCTCGCGTCTTTTCCTTTCCGTTCCTTGGCGTCCACGAAGGCTCTGGCAAATTTAACGCCGTAGTCAATGTTATCGCTGCAGCCACCCCAGTCGAAGTGGCCCTTGGTGTCCTTGGCAGAGCCTTTCTTCTTGGGATCGCAGGAGCAGGATTTCAGCTCCCCTTGGCTGCATGCCCTGGTGATGGCAAAAACAACTCCAGCGGAGGAGATGGCGTGTACAAAAGCAGATTCCCGACTACCTGAAACAAAAGAAGACGCTTTAAAAATTGTTGGGGCTGT